CTACCACTGCCACAATATTAGTTAAGATAAATAAAAGTGGTAATAAAAGTACACGGTATAAAATTGAATATATTTAAATAATATGAAATTTACATGACCAAATAGGTCATGTCTCGCGATGAGGATACAATTTTTCCTGTACCGGTAGCTCATACATTTTAAATAAAAATTACTTAGTGATAGAGACACCACGGAGCAGCAAGATTAAGCCATTATTGTGAGAAATGCCAATTTAAACTTATAACAGGATTTCTCGCGAGATAAAGGCTGACCATCCAATAAAATACGTAGCGTTAAAGTGAAGTAACATTCTTAGTTTTTATGCTGCGTTTAACTTTTCTGAGTTTCTATAGTAAACTAATATAAAAATAATTTTATATTTAGAAATTTATTATCATTTTCTCTTCGCTTAAGTTTTATAATATTTTACTAACACTAATGATAAGTATCGCCATACCGACATTTAACTTTTGATATACTTAATACGCTAGTACCTATGTATTTAGTGTAGAGAGAAGTGTGTTTGGTAGGTATCGCATTTCCACGTTAAAAAAATAATATAAAAACCAAAAAATTGTTGTTATTTTAAGCAAGACTGACCAATATTTTTATTTCTTAGATTTTTTTATCCGACGACACGTTTGGCTCAGTTTGTAGTAGTACCCTACTTGCTGTGCCAGCGGTCGCGGGCTCGAGTCCCGCTGCGGGCATTCCTTTTGTGATGAGCACTGAGAATGTTTGTACTCCAGTCATAAGTGTTTATATTTATAATATGTATGTATTTAAAGTTATATATGTGTAAACTATCTGGTATCCATAGCACAAGCCTCGTAGCTTACCACGAAACTAGATGGCGCTGTGTCTTAATATCCCAAATAAATATTATTTATATCTTTGTGCGAATATTTATCTTTGAATATATTATGTTAATTATGTTTTCATGCAAAAACTACTAAACGGATTATGATGAAACTTTATAGTAATCAGAATGACATATAAGTTATAATTTAAAAGATATAATAATACATAATAGAAATATGCGAGCGGAATCGCGGGGAACGTAGTGTGTAACTAAAGAAAAAAATACTAAGACTGCATAAAAATGTTATGTTTAGAATTTTATATAACACTATTTTGCTCACCTCACTTACCTACCTTACCTTACGCTAAGGAGTAATGAAAATATTTTCAAAATATATACTTTTACACGTTAATTTCAAAAAAACCTTAAGTTATTACATATTTTATATAACAGAGCAAGACGATTTTATGAAACATAAATAATAAACACTCTATCTTGATTTAAAAATCTAGATTTAGAAGCAGCTGCAGGCTAAGCTATTAAACTATTCCTGGCCTTGTTTGATGTGTAACTAAAAATATTTTATATTACTTCATTCTAACAGCTTTCTTTTATTCAGAAATTCTCTTAAAATTTCATTGGTTGTCGAAATGTAAATATGGACCTATCTAGAAATCTCAAATAGACAGCTTTAATGCACGAATCCTTAGGGAGCAGTCTTTATACACATTCATAGAAATAAGTTTCTGTTATGTTTTAGCTGACATTGACATCTTGGGAAAACGTAAAAACGTTAAAGACTGCAAGGGTAAAAGCATTTGTTTCTTTCACACGTGTTTTCATGTAAAATGCTATTTTTTCAAATTTAACACTCTGTAAATGACTAATATTAGAGTACAAAGTAAGACTTTCAAAAAGAAGCAGAAAAAGTTAAACAAGCTTTTATGTAGAGTGAGCTTTTGATTCTCAGTTCTCAGAAGGTGTGGTTTATTAGTAACTGCCTATATTTTTAAAGAATATATAATATAATTCGTTATTTTTTAAAGGTTGAAGTCGAAAAAATAACACGGAATCAACTTATTCGTTACGTATATTTATTAATTATAAAAAGTTTTACTTTTATTACGCTGATAAAAATTAATGCTTAAAAGCACACAACTATTTGTTTATTATTCCATGAATAGAGAATATATATACCTACGTACAATAAAATTCTGAGTCGAATCTGTACATTAAACTATTTTTGGAAAATCTTATTGAAATAGTCATTATTATAGATACAGACGCCAATGCTATAGTTTTTAGAATTTTTGTTTTTGTCTGTCTGTCTGAGAACGTATTACGAGAAAACCACTGAACAGATTTTGATGAAATTTGCTATGATGATAGCTGGTTATCTGGGACAATATATAAGAAACTTTTTACTGCGAGAAAATATCTCATCTCTGAGAAATCTATACTAAACGTTAAAATGCTAGTTCAGTTATAAAACTGTTACTAAAATATTCAATAATCGCTTAAGGTTATTTGTTACGTCACTATTCCGGTCACGTCCGCCTTAACATCTGAATTGTTTCTCCGCTAGTTTCATACAGCAAGCTTCTTGCCGGTCTTATTCATTTGCCACGTGCTTTCTTTATTAGTTAACTTCGAAACTAAGTTGACACAGCGCTCTAATTTTTTAAGCTTTTAAACCGAGGATATGAAATGCAGAAAATATAATAATGCTACGTGTATAATATATATTTCTGATATTAGTGGCGTGCGGTGTTTAAGGAATTATAGTATAATTCTGTAACCTCTATAGCTGAATTTAAGATCATGTTTCATATGTCTGTTTAAAGTAAGTTTGTGAAAAATTAGAGCCCTACAGTACCTATTTAGGCAGATTATAAGAAGATGATGATAATAAAGATGACATGAAATTATAAAATAATCTTCCAGTACGTCTCAGGCAAATATTGACATTTACCTAATTTAACTATTTACATTGTACGTTTTCATTTACTAAGAATGAAAATAATAAGTCTGATTTTTAAATTTATAGTCATACAATATATAAAACAAACTCATATAAATTACGAGCATTGCCCGCGGCTCCGCCCGCGTTCAGATGACCAAAAACCAAATTCTTAGGTTTTACATATTAGTATAATCTTACAGTGCAGTTTTTGTATTTTTTCTCGATAAAAAGTATCCTATATGTTGACCCGGATAACCAGCTATCATCATACCAAATTTTATCAAAATCTGTGCAGTGGTTATCTCTTGATGCGGTAACAGACAGACAAAAATTCTAAAAACTATAGATTCGGACTCTGTATAGACAATAATATCGATTTCAATTAGATTTTCCAAAAAAATATTTAATGTACAGATTCGACTTAGTTAAAATTTTATTATATGTATAGACTATATAATATATACTACATACAATACCATAAATGTTGGAATTATAATAGATAATAGATATATCGTCATGATCGTAGAATAATGCCGTGTAAATAATATTACAAATCCCAATTTTATTTGTAATATTAGAATATTAAAAAAATGAAAAATCCACGAAACTTTTTTACGAAAAAGTAGAGCCACATGGAATTTACTAGGAAAGTATAGCTTTACGTCACACGTAATCCCGTTCCATCGGCCACGTGCTTACAGATCCACATACGGGGATTACGATCGTCGAAAGATTTCATATAAATGTTATTACGTTTTACTACAAGCTTTGCGTTCAATCCGTGCGTGGAGGATTACAGCTCATCCGGTCTTTCCAAATGTAGTTTATGATACATAGGTACTACTATAATATAGTACCTTAACTAAATATTCTCTTCTAAATAGCAGATTTACATACTTAACTAACACTGTTCATAGGTTAATTAATATTTTAATACGTATAAGGTGTTTTGTTAACTGTTTGAATAAAACGTTGACGTTTTTGGCCTCAAAAACTTTTAAAGTTTAAATATTATATAGTTTTTATATTTTATATATTTATAAAATGTTAAATATTCGCGTAAATCTAAGAAAGTATTATTAGGCAATTAATAAGAAAGTTTAACTTTATTTATGTGACTTAGTTTCGCTTTTCTATATAATATTTAATATTTTATTATTTTAGAAATCTAACAAACTTGGTGTATCCAACTTCGGTGTGGCACCATTTAGCTAAAGGTCTACTTTGAAATTGTATACATTTTTAAATTACTTTTTCTTTTACTTAAAAAATATCTAGAAATTGCTGTGATAACGGAACTTACTCAATAACATCTAACTGTGACTGAGAAATGCCAATTTAAAGTTGTAACAAGGTTTGCCGCGAGTGGCCGCGGAACGAAATTTGAACTGTAGAATGAATAGCATCGAACTCTAAACTGGGCGTTCTAAAGAGTTAACTTTCAGCCCCATTTTTTATACCTATTTCTGAGCTTGAATTAAAAAATAGCCGCTTAGTTCGCCCTCGCATGTTAGCATATAAGTATATTTTAAAGCTTTTCAGTTTGCTGATGCTCACTAACTATTAAAATTGGTTGGTGAATTAACTATAAAACAGTTCAAACTAACCTAAATATATATATATAAAGACTAGCAACTCACTCTCGCTATGCTCGGGTTCGTCCTTAGGTACGTTTTAAAAGTTAGTATAGATTTCCCACACATGAAATATTTTACCGCAGCAAAAAGTACTCTATGTAAAAGTACTCTATGTTGACTTGGATAACCAGCTATCATCAAACCAAATTTCATCAAAACCTGTCTAGTAGTTATCTCGTGATGCGTTCCCAGACAGACACACAGACAAACAAATATTCTAAAAAGTATAGATTTGGCCTATGTATCAATATTAATGACTATTTCAATAAGATTTTTATAAAATATTTAATTTAATGTACAGATTCGACTCAGCTACAATTTTATTATACATATATATGAATAAAGATAACATAATCAATTATTACTAAATATCATTCTTGTAAGTTATCAGAAATAATAACAGGCATTTATTTAAAAAAATACACAATTTTAAGGCAAACAATAGAAATATTTTATTTAAATAATTATGTTGATTTGTTTTTATAATATTTACTCAAAAATAAAAAAGCTATAAAATTTTTGGTAGTCCCAAATAAAAATTTAATCAGTTTTGGTGTATTAATTAAAATAATAATATAGAGAAATTTTAAAAATTTCATAACGCTGCGCAATAAACTTGGTTCCATAGTTGGCTAATACGAACATGTGCAGACTGTATAAGAAGTGTATCTCTACTACGATTTAGCTCGATATTCGTTAACGAGTGCGAGAAACAAGTCTAGAATTGAATAGCATTCGTTAAGCAAACATTTTGTACGATACGTGTAAATACGAGGATAGTTACGTAATTTTACGATCGCAACTTGTAGTAGTGATATGTAAGCGGTATTAAACAAGGGTTTGGGTACAACAATCCAGATGTTAAGACAGCTCAGACGTGCTCCGCATCGGAAGGCAGGTCATAGTCGGGTAAGCAGTTATTGAATATTAAAATGGAAATATTATATTCTAAACCCTATTCATAATAGGGTTTAGAAATTTTATGATATTTTCCCGTCCAGAACCTTTTATGTGATATTTATAATATTGTTGAGATAGTGAAGAAAAAAGCAATATTTTGTGGTATTTTTAAATTGATTTTTTTATTTCTATAGTGGATGGCGATATACGTTCTTACTATGTATATTAAAGTTACGAAGCTTATTTTGAATATTTTTGCAAATTTTATGGGGAATTGTTTAGGGTGAAATAGAATTTAGGATGAAAATGAGGGATGAGATCGAGGATCTTATCGTTTAAAGTAAAACAGATTTTTACTAAAAAAAAATCTTACTTGGGAAACCGAGTGAAGTGTGTTCAAATCCCAGGACTTACACCTCTTATATTTTTATGTGTGAATTATTTCCAATATGATTACCACTTGTCTTATGGTGAAGGAAAACATCGTGAGGAAACCTACATGTCTGAGAGAAACTAGCAAGTTTTCGAAAACATGTAAAGTCCGCCAACCCGCACTTGTCCAGCGTGGTGTAGTATGGCATGATCCCCCTCGTCTTGAAGTAGGAGGCCCGTGCTTAGCGCTGGAATATTAAAAAGAAATAAATACATACATACAATATCACTTTCAGGCTACATTACGTCATCTTCTTTACAAATAAGAACATATACTTATTTTGCAGGCCACAAACAATCACACGCAGGTTCAATATCACAACATATCATTATAATTCTATTATAACTTCCTAAACACATCCAACTTAGTAACTCTATTCATTCTTTTAAAAATAAATTATATGACTACAACTGCACGATTTTACCTTGTTTTATAACACTATTTCTCACTACCATAGGTTGGCTGGAAGAGATCTCTTCTAGAGATAAGTCCACCTTTGCAAACAAAAATTGTATTTAACACACTGTATTTATTTTAAGTGCAATAAAGCATAGTATATAATAAAATAAAAATGACTACTCTTGCAAGACTTCAACTCTTGCAAGACATAGTGCACGTTGTCATTAAAATCTAATTAAAAAAAAAAACTCTATCCATTTATGCAAATAACCACGAAATTGGTAAGCAATTATTGGAGCCATCGCATTTGCAATCCAATTATTAACTTCACTTCGTGTGGAATTTTTCGAAAGCATTTCGAGAGTATTGTATTTTAGACCACTAGGTAGAACGTCTATGGCCCGTTGAGCGTGTTCTAACGCCAAGATGGCCTCCGTACGTGTTTCGAATTCTCTATGCAACCAGCTTTGGCTTCTACGGTTTAGATTGCCCTATATTCGGGGCATGTACATTGAAAAATTGCTTGCTAACTGTAAAATCTATTTATGTAATATTAATATGAAATTCAACATAACGGTTTTTATTAAATTTTTCGTAAGAGATTTTTTTAAATTTACTAGTTTTTACTTAGCAAAATTACAATATTTAACATTTTAAATATTGTCTCGTTGCGGCTTGAAGAATAAAAGATAGATAAAGATAAGTGATATTGTAATAAAAAATGTCCATCCATACTTTTATTTATACGCGTAAAAGCTTTAATTAAGCCCTTTTAACTTAGTTGTACTCGACGAGTTGGAATTTAAAGAATAATGTTTTATCCAAGTTTTGATAAAACTTTTAGAAAAATAAAGTTTTGTACTTAGGAGACATTTTCTTATTAAAATGTTTTAATTTAAATATTTTGTTGACACAATAGACAACAGACTTTCTTTAATTTTCTTTAAAGGTGGCCTACCTTACCTATAATAGATACTTTATAATCCAGACCGTTCCTAATATGGGTTTTATATAATAACATCAAGATAAAGTACGCCATTTAAATATTTACAACAAGCTGGGATCAAACTCAATACTAATAACTTGTAAAATATTTTATCGCTACGTTATTACACCTATTTATACATATAATAAAATTGTAACTAAATCGAATCTGTACATTAAATATTTTTTAGAAAACCTTATTGAAATAAACATTATTATCGATACAGAGGCCGAATCTATAGTTTTTAGTATTTTTGTCTTTCTGTCTGTCTGTCTGTTACCGCATCACAGAAAAACCACTGGAGGGATTTTGATAAAATTTGCTATGGTGATAGCTGATTATCCGGGTCAACATATAGGATTCTTTTTACCGCGGTAAAATATCTAATTTCTGAGAAAAAATATAAAAACTGCAATGTTAGAGTATACTAACACGGTAATATTACATATACATGCATTATTATGCATTACATTACCGTGATACTAATATGTAAAACCTAAAAATTTGCTTTTTGGTCATCCGAACGCGGGTGGAGCCGCGGGCAATGCTAGCTCTCTATATAACTATTATTAAAGCTGTGAAAGGTGTGAAATGAAGACAGTTAGACAGTTGGTGCTTCCGAACATAAACATTTCATTTGCTAACGTGCGCTAACTAAAGAGGCCGACACAATATCATCTACCACATCGGCTTATATACTGGATAAGCTATCTACTTAGTACTTATGTCTGCTACTAAGACAATGATATTGTTGGCTGTATTAATAATGTGTTATGAGCATTAATTTTTTTGCACCATGTAATTTTGCAAAATGGTAGTGGTAGTCTAGTGGTAGCACTCCCTTGCTAAACTGAGTGAAGCGGGTTCAAATCTCGGGTCTCGCACGTGTGATATTTTCATGTGCGAATTATTTAAAACATGATTACCACTTGTCTTACGGTGAAGGAAAACATTGTGTGGAAACGTACTTGTCGGAGAGAACCTAGCAAGTTTTCGGAAGACATAATTCGTTGGCTTACTATTACAAGGTTCTATGTTAATTTTAATGAAGTTTAGTAATTTTTACATAGAACTTCGTTATTTTGTTATCGTAAAAAAAATTGAATATTTTGTAGTTATAGTGCCGCTATCTAGTGGTTGTTTTTGCAAAACTGTAGCTAATGACACATAGAACCTTGTAGCATTAACAACTAAATAAGTACTAAAATTGTAACATAGAACCTTGTAATCGTGAGCCAATGATATGTAGTCCGCCAACCCGCACTTGGCCAGCGTGGTGGACTGTGGCCTGATGCTGTCCTCGCATTGAAGAGAGGCCCATGCCCAGCAATAGGACGTTTAAAAAGGGCTGAATAGAATAAAATTTTCCATCATTAGAATGTGTGGCGACACGGACCTGCCGAGGGTCCGGTGACGACACTCTGGATCAGAACAGGATGTTCTGCCGATAAAACGATCGGTTCAACGATATTCAAATGAAACGCATAATGGGCCTGGACAACAACAAGCACTTACCGGTCGTACTGTGGCAATCCAAGCCGAGGTGCCTGGTCGAGGTTTAACGCCGTATCTTCGTGGATGGCGGCGGAGCTAAGTTGGGCAGCCCAGCACAGACTTTGTGCTATAAGCTGGTATATATGGACGCGACACTGTTCACACTATTGAATTCACTTCGAGTTAAGGGTTGTATGTGGTTCGCGCGTTCTCTTAGAGCAGGAATAGACGAGTGGGGTCGTATTTTAAATAGAAAACGAATTTTATAGCGGCGCCTGTACCGGTAGCAACACATCACCATTCATTCCAGCCCGGAACCAATCAAAATGCAGTACGATCAGTATGTTCATTACGTGAACCTTGGTATTGGCCAGGTCCGCCGCGTGACATTCAAATAGGATTGAACCCAACGTAATTGAATGGAGAATGAACATACCGCCCACCAAAATACAGCTGGTATTTTCCAGATTAATAGGTAAATAATAATAAAAAAAAAACGATAATCTAAGTATAAAATAAATAATAGTATAAGGTATATTGTATATGTATGTGTTACGAATAATATGCTACGACTGAGAATGTTATAGTATAAAATATGATATATGTTAAAAACGTTAGTTTAGTATACAATAGCTCAAGATCATGTGAATTACGATTCGATAGGAAGAGGGCATAGCTTTACAAGAGGTCGTTTAATCAAGCTTTCCTTAGTTTTAACGGTTGCTATTCGGACGATACCATCCGGACCGGGATGCAACTCCGTCACCCTTCCTAAAAACCATTGCAATGGAGCACGATTGTCATCCTTTATCAAAACAACAGCATTTACATCGAGTGGCTTAGAGGTCTTTGTCCATTTAGCACGTAAGGTTAATGAGTGTAAATATTCGTTTCTCCAACGAATCCAAAAATTCTGTAGGAAGGACTGAATTAACTGCCAACGGGTTAATCTATGAAGTTTTATATTAGTATAATCTACATCTGGGACGGTCGTAAGAGGTTCTAAAGTCAAGAAATGACCAGGAGTTAGAACATTTAAGTCATTTGGATCGGTACTTAACGCATAAAGAGGTCTCGAATTTAGCACTGCTTCAATTTGAACAAATAGCGTGGACAGTTCTTCGAAAGTTAAAACCTGATTACCTATAATGCGATACAGATGAGATTTGGCCGCTTTGATTTGAATTTCCCACACACCACCAAAGTGAGGGGCTGACGGAGGGTTAAATTCAAATTTAATTCGTTCCGTATGCAAGGCATTCTTTAGTAAGGATAGATGACTGCTCACACCTATGAAATTTGTTCCACAATCTGCATGGATCACATTACAACGACCACGACGTCCAACAAAACGACGCAATGCTGCCAAAAATCCATCAGCTGACAACGATGATACGACTTCCAAATGGACGGCTTTTGTAGCTAAACATACAAATAAACAGAGATAAGCCTTATCTATTTTGGCTCCACGATGTGTACCTTGTTTGATACGGAAAGGTCCGCCGAAGTCAACACCCACGATAGAAAATGGTTTCACTTGATTAACACGAAATGAAGGAAGATCGCTCATGTATGGCTCTAACGATTTAGGTTTTGTTCTAAAGCATCTAATACATTGGGAAAGACAACGTCGTATAACACGTTTAGCTGACAATATCCAGAACCGTTGCAATATTAAGTAGTGCGTAGTATTATGCCCCGTATGGCAATGTTGACGGTGTATGGATTCGATAACCCTATAAGTAAATTCATGGTTACTAGGTAAAAGAGCGGGATGTCGGTGTTCGAATTCAAGACCAGCACGGGATATCCGACCGCCCACCCTGAGAATACCATCCTCATCCAGAAACAGATTTAATTTACGCAACGGTTTTGGTAGTGGTTGCTTTGCTCGAAGCCGTTGAACTTCACCAGCAAATGACGAAGATTGGACAAATTTCACGATAAATAACAATGAGTTATGATTTTCGGTTTCAGTTAGAATTGAGCCTCTATGACGATCATGTGGATTTTTCGTATTATGTATAAATCGTCGAATATAAGAAACGATGTGCATTATTTTTTCTAACGACGAATATAATTTTATTAAATTGAGGATAAGAGTGCCATACTCATCTTCTGAACAAGTAGCCAAAACAACTGTACGGCGCTCTTCAGCTCTTACGATGTTTTCGTCCTCAGAACTATAAGATTGAGAAGTTTTTCTATTGGTTGGCCATTGATCGGACGGTTTTACTAGCCACGCTGGCCCTGACCACCATAATGAGTTATGAAATAGATCATAAGGAAGATTCCCACGTGAACAAATATCCGCAGGATTGTCTGAAGACGCTACGTGATGCCATACCTCCGTAGAGAAAATATCCTGGATATGTCCCACACGATTAGCTACGAACGTGGTCCATCGAGAGGAGTGTGAACGAAGCCAAGATAGGACGACGGTCGAGTCAGACCATAGATAAATAGCGTGGAGCGTTAATTTTGTTAAGTATGTATCCAGCACAAATTTTGCTAAATTTGTCAGCAAGACGGCTGCACACAACTCCAATCGAGGCAAAGAGATTTTCTTAATGGGAGCTACTCGAGCTTTGGCACATACTAATCGTGTTTGTGTTAATCCGTCTGCAGTTGAAACTCGAATATAAATAACTGCTCCATACGCAAGCTCCGAGCTATCACAAAATCCATGTAATTCGTACGTTAAAGTGTTGTTAATTGTCATACACCGTGGTATACGCAGGTCCTTTAATATAGACAGCTGATTGCAAAATGTTTCCCACACGCTATTCACATCTTCGGGTGGATCACTGTCCCAATCGATACCAAGCAGCCAGAGCCGTTGCAAGAGGCACTTCGCCTTGATGGTTAGAGGTGCAAGGAAACCTAAGGGGTCGAAGATCTTCGCGATCTCGCTCAGAATAACTCGTTTTGTACAAGGTCGGATTGAAGATTTAACATCAAAGGAAAATGTATCGGTAGTTGGCTCCCACTTTAAACCAAGCACCTTTAGGCTACAAGAGTCATGGCCGGTAAATGTTTTGGAACTAAGCAGACATTCTTCCTGAGGAATATCAGAAAGTAACTCTGGTATGTTACTGGCCCACTTCCTCAACTGGAAATGCCCTAATTCCAAAAGCTCTATAATTTGTGCTTTAGCCTCTAGAGCCTCGTCCAGAGTCTCACAACCGGTTACAATGTCGTCAACATAAATCTCGCTATGCAGAATTTGGTTTGCTAGAGGAAATGCAGAGCCTTCATCCTCAGCTAGCTGTTTAAGAGTTCTACATGCTAGAAACGGTGCAGAGGAGACTCCGTAGGTGACAGTATTTAACCTGTATTCCTGCAAAACTTCACCAGGGCTAGACCTCCAAAGAATCCGTTGATAATCTCTATGATTATCAGCTACAAGAATCTTTCTATACATCTGACGTATATCCGCTAAAAACACAACTACGTGTAAACGAAAAAGGAGAAGAACCTGCACTATATCACTCTGAAGCTTAGGGCCTGTCAGTAGCGTGTCGTTTAACGACCTACCGCTGGCGTCTCGGGCCGATGCATCGAAAACAACGCGAAGTTTTGTGGTGCTACTATCTGGTTTAACAATGCAGTGATGTGGTATATAATATTTACCTTCACCGAGCTCCTTCACGGGGACAAGCGTCATATGGCCACTCTTCTCATAGTCCTCCATGAATTCTGAATACTGCTTATATAACGTCGGATCGCGGGAGAGACGGTTCTCAATGGCCTTGAAACGCCTTAAAGCAAGACTACGAGAATTCTCAAACTTTGGCTCTATACCATCCTTAAAAGGTAACTGAACTCCGTATCTGCCTGTTGAATCACGATAATGGTCGGTGACATATGCCTTTTCACATGCCATATCTAGTGGTGTGAGAATTGATGCTTGAGGAACATTATCAATCTCCCAGAAGCGTTGAACCATAGAAGTCAGCTCGTCGGATTTGGCTGTATATTGTAATAAGGACGAGGATGTGAGGTGTGTTCTACCTAATAAAAGCCATCCAAAGACTGAATTCATCGCAACAGGTTGATTAGACCGACCCTTCATACATTGGTCCAATAGAGAATCAGCGAATATATCTGCACCAAGCAAAATATCGATAGGCCCAGGTATATCGAAACCTGGATCTGCCAAGGGTAACGATTGAATGTGAGACCAACCATTCGTATTAAGTTTAGCAATAGGCTGATCGCCACAAATAGTTGATATGACATGCATGTCAACATCGAATAAAACCTTGTTGTTTGATGCGAGTGAACAACGAACCATGTGACTAACATCTGCAGACAATCCACCTAAACCGTTAATATTTGCATCGCATGGTACTTGTTTAATATTTAAGGTTCGAGCTGCGTCACAAGTAATTAAATTGTTTTGGCTGCCAGTATCAAACAGTGCCCGAAAACAATGATACCGACCCTTTTCATCTACTATCTGCACTATAGCGGTAGCAAGAAGAACAGTTGTGTTTAGTGAAGATTTTGTACATAATTCGTAACCAGAGGCCTTGGCGATTAAGGACACAGAACGAGACGGGGTATCGGTAGATTGCTCTTTGTGAAGCAATGTGTGATGTTTATGTTTACATTTAAGGCATCGGAAAATCGACTTACACTCTTTTAATTGATGAGATGATTTAAGGCAGTTGAAGCACCATCTTTTTTCGTTTGCAACAGACATGCGTTCATCTACCGATTTTGATAGAAATCGCTTACAATGTGCAATTGAATGAGTAGCATCTGTGCAAAACGAGCATTTAGGCATAACCTTGGAGTTGTCATGCCGCGTTTCTCCAGTTTTTAGTTTATCATCCGAATGACTAGAGACTAATGTGTGAGTAACAGGACGACGTTTAACAATATTAGAAGGAGGCCTAATCGAATCCTTTACAACATGAAAAGCGGCTTTAGTAGCTTCAGAAAAATGATTATCTCGTATAAGCGCTTCACATCTTGAATGTAAAAACTCTTTTAAATTAATATATTTAGGAAATTCAGAACTACAACAACTTTCTTCGAAATCCCGGCGCAACTTCGATTCTAATTTCGATAGAACATGATAAACGATTATAAATTCCCATTGCTCAACAGGTAAATTTAACTTTCTTAAAATACTCAAATTCTCATCAATACTGTCCAAGCTACGACGAAAGTCATTTATATTTTGAATTTTCAAATTTACATTTAAAATATCCTTCCAACAGGTATAAGCTAATTCACGAGTATTCTGATAGCGCGCGATTAACGCGGCATACGCATCTGAATAATAGTCACCGGTTACGGGAAACACACGAATAAGTGACAACGGATCGCCGCTTAACGAAGAGATTAAATAATGAAATTTCTCAACGTCCGTTATGGAGTTACAATTATGTATAAGAGCGTTAAATGTATCGATAAACTCAGGCCACTTCTTTATATTGCCTGAAAAACTCGGTAATTGGATTTTCGGTAAGCGTACATGAGACAAAGGAGATTTGATGTTAGAACTCGTGCCAGCCGACATATTAGACGTGTCAGATAAATTCAATTCACCTCTCGTTAAACTACGAAGTATAGCCATGACTTGAAAGTATGCATCGTCAAAACGCGCACGTATGTCATCATCATCAACGCTGCCATCACACGAGTCCAAAAGTTCGAGTATAAAGAAATGCGCTTCTTCAAACTCAGACACAAACCTTTTTGCCTGATCGCAGTACGAGAAAAAAAGGTCACAGTGAACCTCATCGCCTTTTGCTTTCTTACCGATTTCCAATGCTTTTAACATACGATTTAATGCAATAGTACGTTTCCTTTTGAGAGATGGTAAGTCATGAACAGTATAGCATTCTGTTCCCGTCTGTTTTATCTTCGATTTACTAGAAGTATTAAGTTTACGGCTACTACGTTTTGGATTAAACGACATTTTGTAAAATAAAAAGAAAATATAATGGTTACGAGATAACTGTAATAAAGCAATATAATGTTATAAGCGAATAATAGTTATAACTACGTATAAGTTGTCTTTAACTTGCAATTCTCTAATTAGTCATATGCGCGTCTTACTGCGCGACGGTGGCGTGTATGAGTACAATGCAACGTAGGTATATCTTGCGAAGGAACAAATATTTAGATGTAAATACGTTGATTGAGTTTCGTTATGTTGTGAGTTAGTGAATATTAAATTGCTACAGCCGATTAAGATTATATAAACACCGTATAAATGTATAGATTGTTTATATTTGATCTGTAACTATCTAACATTCTACGTATAAGAAAGTGCACGAATCATCTGCGATAGGTAGTTATATTATTTAAACTGTATGCAGATTTTATAACGTATTATTAATAATAACGAACGAAGTTAAGTGAAAATGTGAACGTTGCAATTGAATGTGAATGATATTCAAAAGTGGTGAACAAGATGTCGGTTAGTGAAGGAGCGTATTAAGGTACAGTATTAAGTATGATGTATGAGACAATGGCCGAAAGTAGGTATAGATTATTTTTATATTTTATATATTACAAAAAAGTATGCTTTGTAATGTTGTAAAATTATGTATTATGAGTAATACTTTCGACTAGAGTAGGTAGTATACTTATTACTTTACGGACAAAAAATACCAGCTATATTAACGAATTCAAATACGGCAAGCGATATAACTAGGCACCTTTGTTCCCGGGTTTCGGCACCAAAAGATGTGGCGACACGGACCTGCCGAGGGTCCGGTGACGACACTCTGGATCAGAACAGGATGTTCTGCCGATAAAACGATCGGTTCAACGATATTCAAATGAAACGCATAATGGGCCTGGACAACAACAAGCACTTACCGGTCGTACTGTGGCAATCCAAGCCGAGGTGCCTGGTCGAGGTTTAACGCCGTATCTTCGTGGATGGCGGCGGAGCTAAGTTGGGCAGCCCAGCACAGACTTTGTGCTATAAGCTGGTATATATGGACGCGACACTGTTCACACTATTGAATTCACTTCGAGTTAAGGGTTGTATGTGGTTCGCGCGTTCTCTTAGAGCAGGAATAGACGAGTGGGGTCGTATTTTAAATAGAAAACGAATTTTATAGCGGCGCCTGTACCGGTAGCAACACATCACCATTCATTCCAGCCCGGAACCAATCAAAATGCAGTACGATCAGTATGTTCATTACGTGAACCTTGGTATTGGCCAGGTCCGCCGCGTGACATTCAAATAGGATTGAACCCAACGTAATTGAATGGAGAATGAACAGAATGATTACACGTTAAGGTGATTTTTCTAAACCGAAATAGCTACATCTGTATATATAAAAATCAATTGCTGTTCGTTAGTCCCGCTAAAACTCGAAAACGGCTGGATCGATTTGAATAATTCTATTTTTTTTTGTTGGGGGTGTGTCAGGGGTGGTTTAAAAATAAAAAAAAAATAGGGAAAATCCCAAAAAAAAAACTCCTGGAAATTCGAAAAGTTTAGAGATTTTTATTTTGTATGGGGATCACTAACCGCTAAAACGTACCTAGCGAACAACCCAAGCAAAGCGAGGGTGAGTCGCTAGTATATAATAAATGTTTAATATGACCTGCCTGACTAATTTATAATATATAACCCAATTACCGAAATCGCTGGATCTATACTCTATAGAGCTGTATTTTGACAATGCATTCTTATAACGGTTTGGCTATTTGCCAAGAAAAAGTTTACCGTAAGATAAATGTCGAAAATTTAAATAGCATCTCAGTTATAGGGAAAATTGGGAATTCTATTACGTTTTTAAAATAATTCAGTCGCTTAACATCCCACTGCTGGGCACGCGCCTCCCTTAAGAATTTAATTAATTCAACCCTTAAGTACAGTAAATTGAAAATTTATTTTTAGAATGCAATAAGTCTTTTCTATATAGCTTTAATTTCTCTATACAGATTTTAAATAAAACTATTTTCTTTGAATGCTTTACAATGTTAGAAATGTCGGGAACTAGAAATTAAAATATTCGCGAAAAAAAAAACAAAAAATATAGAAAAATAAAAAAATAAAAAATATAGAAAAAAAATCAAATATTCCCATAAATCTGAGAATGTGTTTCCTATTTATGTTTTGATTTTAATTGGAATTTAAATATAAATAAGTAGTGCTTATTTCTTAAATCTGCTTAAATATTATGTTTCTGTAATAAACAGCTATTAATCTTATTCATTCGTTTTTTAATTTTTAAGAGCAAAAATTATAGACCATCGAGAATCAATCGACGGTTTATATTTTTATTACACTAACACTATTACGTTTTCACACTATTTTCAGAGTATGAAATTCTGATATTCCTTCAAGTTATGATCGCTGTTACTGACGCTGTCAGAAAACTTGACGTGAGTCGTAACATACGAAAAATCCTAGTCTGACAGTTTTAATCCACATACGTATAATAATCTACACATATAATAAAATTCTAACTGAACAGAATCTGTACGTTAAATATATAAAAAAAATCTTATTGAAATAGTCATTATTATCAAAACAGTAATAGAATTTATAGTTTCTGTCTGTCTGTTTGTCTGGGAATGCATCACAAGAAAATCACCGGACAGATTTTGATGAAATTTGGTATGATGATAGCTGGTTATCCGGGTCAACTTATAGGATACTTTTTACTGAGGAAAAATATCTCATTTATGAGAAATCTTTGCAAACCGTTAAAACGTACCTAGGAACGAACCCGAGCGGAGCGAGGGGCAGTCGCTAGTAACAGTATGGTAAATCGAGTATATTCAATACGTACATTTAATTCGTCTGCTATGCGAGATTAAATAAAGCATTCAATTTATTGATACATTGTGCGCAAGCGCGTGAAAGTTACTATAAGAAAAAAACTCAAGATTGTTTTCTAACGTATTCGTTATTATTTGCTTTCATACTGATAAAGCGTAGGTACGAAAATGATTTATACATATAGATTTATACATATTAAGACGACCCGTTTGGCTCAGTATGTAGTGACCCTACTTGCTGTGCCAGCGGTCGCGGGTTTGAGCCCCGCTGGGGCATTCCTTTGTGTGATGACGAATGTTTGTACTCCAGTCATGGGTGTTTATATTTATAATACGTATGTATGTATTTAAAGTTATATATGTGTAGTGTATCAACTATCTGGTATCCATAACACAATCCTCGTAGCTTACCGTGGTATTAGATGGTGCTGTGTTAATGTCCCAACATATTTATTTATTTATATATTGTAAACCAAGGTTAAAATTCATTAATTCTTTTGTTTTTTTCCTATACATTCTAATACCATTAATTCCGTGATATATAAATTTTAATTTGTATTTTGCTCATCACTACACTGAGTATTAAGTATGGAAAATTATATGTTGCATTTTCTTGAGTGTAACATCTAAAATAAAAGTAAAACGCTGTAAATCCTAAAGCATTTAAATAAAATAGATCAAAGTTTAAGGAGTGCAAAAAATAAAATAAAAAATCTTCCAATGATTTTGTACTTGTTTTGTCTGCTTTATTTGAAGTAAAACCTACCTATCACATAAGCGGAACTGGAGGCAAAAGCTAGCAGTAGTAAATAATTCCAGTAATTTGGGATTAAGTCACACATTCGTAGGGGATGTAAAATTATTTTATAAAACAACTAGCAGAAGCCGTGGCTTCGCTCGTGCTAAAACTACAAAAAAATAATCTAAAACGGTAGGTTTCATACAAACTTTCATCCCCTATTTTACCCCCTTATGGGATAAATTTTGAAAAATGCTGAAACACGTATCTCTTTAATTATATTGAAGAGCATTAATACCAAGTTTCAAGTAATTCTGATCATAAATATTTTTTTGGGTTGTATTATAACGTGTTTTCCCGTGGGAATAAGATAATCTCCCGCTATATAAAGTAGCTTATGTTACTCTCTAGCTCTCCAACTATCTTTGTACAAAAAATCACGCCAATCCGTCACTCCGTTTCGAGGTGAAAGAAGGACAAACAAACAAACAAACACTTTCACATTTATAATATTAAAGAATGGATACTTTGACATCTTATTAGTAAATAAACAAGTCACGTTGCTATTGTATTCGTTCTTTTTACATAATTTTATTAAATAGCACATGTTTTCTTTACAAAATAAACGACTAGTTCGATTCTTCATGCTATATGTAATAATGTTGTAAGACAATTATTATGGTAGGTATATGCAGCGTTGAAGTAAAAATGTCGCATTACACATCGCGATCTGATTGTTAGCTGCTTACTGCGGTTGGTCACGCGACTCCCTAAATGGTTTTATAGGTTTACAATTATTACAATTTAACGTTGGTTTGATTTATATAGGATAACTAACTGTTGCGTGCTGTTATGTGCTATATACTACGTAGTCTTTAATTTCAAAAGGTTTGTGGGCAGAGTCAGTTTAGTAATATAAACTAATATTATAAATTTGAAAGTGTGTTTGTTTGTTTGTCCTTCTTTCAGGTCGAAATGGAGTAACGGATTAGCGGATGAGTAACGGACCTGGAGACAGAGTGCTGTAACTGTATTTTTTCATTGTTACTTCTGTTTTCAAACTCTTCTGTTTTAATATACTATCTCTTGTGTTTTAATATTAAGAAAATATAACTTAACTAGCAATACACCCTCGCTCCGCTCGGGTTTGTTCCTAGGTACGTTTTAACGGCTAGTATGAATTTCTTAAAGATGAAATATTATCCCGCAGTAAAAAGTATGTTGACCCGGATAATCAGCTATTTTCATACCCAATTTCATTAAAGTCTCTCCAGTGCTTTTATCGTGATGCGTTCCCAGACAGACAGACGGACAAAAATTCTAAAAACTATAGATTCGGCCTCTGTATCGATAATAATGGCTATTTCATTAAGATTATCCAAAAATATTCAATTTACAGATTCGACTGAGAATTTTATTATTTTATTATATTTTTATTTATTATATTGTGTAGATAACTGTTATTCGTACTGCATCTTCCTGAAGAATACTACCACTGCATGATCACGATCAATGCTAACAAATTATTTTCTGTCAAAATTTTCATTTTACAGGATAAATGTCCACTGCTTTTGCGGACATAGGCTCCCAAAGATTTTCAAGCAAACTGGTCTTAAGTAATCCGCATTTAGTAGCTGATCTTCATGCCTCTCACTATTTCTTAAGTATACTCACTAGGACCTCCAACCTAAAATTATGGATTTAAGCTATGATGAGTTAGAATATATTAGTTAGAATATAATACTAACATGATTTTTGACTAATTCTGGACAATATACTATAATAATGTATAGATAATCCGATTTCCAGCCAGAGGTAACAATGTCGCATTACACTTTCCATCTGCTCCTCACCGAGTTTATTGTGGCGTGACACGCGATGCATACTGTTAATACATTTTAGGCAATAAATCTTACACAAAGCTTGTAATTTGTGCAAAGTTCATTCAATTTTTTTATTCTATATTCTTTTAAGCTTAAATCTTTGATATTATATTTATTTAACAAATATCAAGTATACCCTTATTAACACTTAATATTTTTTAATCATAGCTTTTCGAGAACATCCCCCCTTCTATAGGCAAATATTTAATGGAAATCCGAGCAGTAGTTTTTTAGATTAGCACGAATATTTTAAATGAGAAAGTTTAGATGTTTGGATGTTTGTTAGTCAATTACGCCAGAACAGCTAAGCGGATCTTGATGAAATTTGACACAGAGATAGATCATAGCTTGGAATAACTATAAAGGCTACTTTGTATCGCGAAAAAATGTACGGTTCCCGTGGAATATATTTGTTTTTGTTTTTCTAGTCGCAAACCCGGCCGTAGGAAGGATGTGCCGCTAGTAACTGATAATTCTTTTCTAATACATATATAATTTCTTCTGGTCAACTTTCAACGAACAAAAATTAACTATGAAAATAATATCAATTAAATTATAAGTATGATTATATAACTTAAGTACCTACTCAAAACTCTAAACAAAAGAGTTAAATATAAACATTTTGATCACTCCGTCCAACTTCTTTATGAAAGCTTCACAGCGTAGCTCAAACGTAAAATTCGTTTACCCAAAACTAAGAGAAACATTTGTCGTCGCAAACGAAACTGTACAAACTTAATTTGTAAAGAACTAAGCGTTGTAAAAAGCAAGTGACAAAACAATTTGCAATCGAAAGTTTATTCGTCTCCATATAATTTAAGCAGAGTGGGGAAAACGTTTAATGGAATCTGCATAAGTAGTCCGACGAAAAACAAAGCCGGCAAGACGCATTCTGCAGTTCGTCTGTTGGCTCGAGCAGAAAGAAAAATGAGAGTAGAAAATAAAATGCAAAGAAGCTACGTCAATCGGGATGCGGGACGCAATCAACATCTCATTAGTGGACTCCTTAATTATGTTGTCTTTTCCTTCGTCGATTTCTCCGATAAATCGTTTATTTTTCAACCAACTACAAATGAAAGGTCCAAATTTTGACTGTTGATCTTTTTATGTACTAGCTTTACGTAGCTTTACTTTACGTAGCCTTTAATAATATTTACTTATGATGCTTAGTATATAAATTCGATGGATCGATCCCAAAAGATAGGAAAAAAATATATTAGAATAACATTTTTATTTTATTAGCAATGAGGATTTTAATAGAAAAATTTAATTAAAATATTTTCCTATTTACTATATTATGTTATTCAACGATATAAATGTACTCGTATGTGTATTGTACTTATAGTGTAAAATGCTGGATTTTTTTTATAATGCCCAATTTTATACAGTGCTACGCATCTCTATATTTTGCGCTTCAAAGCTACTTTTACTATTGCTTTGCTATTTTATAGGAATGTCAGTATAATAAAACACGTTTTTGACAAAGTTGACAATGCCTACTTTTTTAACCAACTTCCAAAAAGTATGTTTTTTATGTATGTTTACCCCCTTTTCTTTGAGATGGCTAGGGAAATTTTGCTAGTTTAAAATGTATTTTATTGAGGTAGATTTCGAAGCAGTCCTATGTGTTTTGTTTTTACTTAGAGCACATCATTTTCGAGAAAATCAGAAAATAATAATGACATTTCCAGTAAGCAAATGTAGCAAGACTTTTCGTGGTTAATTCGTTCATGTTAGAAGTGTATGTTGTGTTGGACATCCAAATGACAGTACAGTAACTAAGCATTATCGAGCTGATTTGACAGTGTCGCCAAAAGTTTGATAGTGGAACTCTTAAACGACTACCAGTAAATACTATGAGATTGGGTATATTTTATCAAGTCTAATACGTTAGGTTGAATTTGAGACGTTGATTATTGATTTTACTGATAAAATTATTACAAAACGAGGCTTTTTATTAACAATAAAGCCTGAGAGAACGTAACTTCTTTTAGAAAGACGTATGAAGTCCGCAAACCTGTATTTGGAGAGCGTGGTGGAGGCCCTTGCCCAGTGTCCAGAAGGACGGTAAAAAGGGCAGAATTAATAGATGAATTACATATCTCGTGCTATCCACAACCAATAGGTGATTATTAAAGCTTGGATCGTGAATAAATTGAGTTGCAAAAAGTTAAATGAGCTCCAGTGTAAGTCTTGTTTTACTTTGAAAAGATAATTTACTTGCATCATAAGGAATGACTTACAAGTGGCTTTATTTAGCCACGTCTCTCAAATCATAAGCTTGTTTCAAAATATTTTTGATGTAAGGGAATGGTAACAAGTAATGTGATCAGATTAGAAATTTCTGAAGACATTTGTTTTTGAGGGAAATACGTATCTATGTATATATTTTAATTTATTATGTTCTTATTATATGGAAATATAAAATAAAACATACTTATATTTTCAACTTCTCTTAGAATAGTTACCCATTTTTCCTTGTAAAGTACTATTATCCTTGTGAATTTATGTCAACACCGATAAAAAAAAGTGTAACATGCGTAGTAAAGACTTATTTGCGAATTATATTATACTAGCGTTTAGGTTCATCTCTAGGTATGTTTTAACGGTTAGTATTGAATAGACTATATTTTATATGGTATATATCCCATAGCCTCTCTCGATAAACTGACTTTCTATTGCAAAAATATTT